CACAGTGAGCTGCAGAGTGACACGAGTGCCAAACAACCGCCACATTGACTCCTGTGTAAACGGTATTAGGCAGAAAAGTTTGCATCCTCTTACTTTGAAATGGCAAAAAGTAAGACAAAGATTATTTTCTCAACAACATAATATTTAATGCACATTCAGCTACCACAAACGTTTCTTCATCAACAGAGGTAAAAAAAAAATGGTAAGGGAGTATATAAAATGTAAAAGATGGAAACATTTCTATCACGCTTTATGAAATGTTCTCTAATACTTTCTGTGTCCTCCCTAACCTACATCTCTTTGGGTACCATCTGAGCAGTGTTTTTAACCTTTCAGGTGTAATTTTAGCCCATTCTTCATGACATACTTGTTCCAAGTCTACTAGATTGCTTGGTTGTCTGCTATGTACAGCCCTCTTAAAACTCTTTTATTCTTTTTGCCATTTCAGACTAAGGGAGTGTAAACTTTTGCATCCAACTGTATGTTTGAGGGGAAATTCAATAAGCATTTTGTAAGCTTGAATGACCAGTTAGTCCTAGCTGAGGGTTAAATGTTCCAGTTGTGTAAATGCTGGAAGTGGTGAAATTCAGAGCAGACACATGACATTACCAACCAATTTTGAAAGTGTATACACTTAATATGCCAGTCTCCAATATTTTAGCAGATCTTCAATGTTGGGAAAATAACATTCCTTTGTAATTTCAAGACATATGTTGTATGTACTTTTTAGCCCAAATGAAGTAGCTCCACATAGGGGAAAATCCTTTTACTGTAGACTGATGTTAGATGTTAACTCAACACTTTTTTTTGTGAATACTTGCCCAACCTCATCTCAGTGTATTATAAATGCCCTTTTTAATTGGATAATTAAAAATGAATCCTTTAGAATTTATGAGTTGTGTTTGGTCATAATTAAGTTTGCCTTATATTCTTTGCATTCCAACTATTTTAAAGCAGACATACATCACCATAATACTTTGTTCAGCCTTAAACCAGCCAGGCAACACAACCTATTTCAAATTCACTTCACATTTCAGGCTGACGTGTGCGTACCTGGCCTGTAAAGTGGATGAGTTCAACGTGTCCAGCAGCCAGTTTGTGGGCAACCTTCAGCATGAGACTCCAGCAGGACAGGAAAGAGTTCTCGATCAAATCCTGGAGTATGAGCTGCTGTTAATCCAACAGCTCAATTTCCACCTGGTGGTCCACAGCCCCTACAGACCCCTGGAGGGCCTACTCATCGACCTCAAGGTAGGTGGACTCGTGGAGAGCTTTGAATATTACCATTGTGATTATAAATGGTAACAGTGCAAATCTAGTTCACTTCAAATTTCACATTATCATTTGTTTTACTACTGTGAGGTATTGTGTGCTTGTCTTTCAGACAAGATACCCTACGCTGGACAACCCAGAGTCACTGAGGAAGAGTGCTGATGACTTTCTGACACAGGCAGCCATGACTGATGCAGGCCTGTTGTTTCCCCCCTCCCAGATTGCTCTGACCGCTATCCTGAACAGCGCTTCAAGAGCCAGTCTCAACATGGAGAGGTGGGTCACTGAATCAATTTGGCTTTACTGTCAGGGAATCAAATGAGAATGTGTAGCTTTCTTCATTCTGGTAAAGCAGAAGCCACATTTAGATTTATTTTCCTCTTCATGATCATTAACTGCAAACAGACACATTCAGATATGGTATTTTGCAAATGGGAAAAATTGGACCCTAATAAAAAAAAATTAAATCTTATTTGAACTTTTTAAATGTCTGACATATGTGGCATGTGTTACGCTTGTTGTGTTTGTATATTACACCAAAATGTCAGCATTATTAAAATTTCATGTGTGAAAAGTCAAAGTCCTGCTCATTGGCTGCATAGTCATTAATGTGAGGCCTTTCTTATTGCTTGGAATGCCTAGCTACCTGACTGAATGCTTGGGACTGAAAGAGGACAAAGAGGCTCTCTCAAAGATGTACGACTCAATGAGACGTGAGTAAACTGCACTTTCAATCTGACACCACAAGATGATGATATTGAGATCTGTTTTGAGCTGTACCATTGTGTCACACACACAGAACAGGTTCTCTTCAAGATTCAAGTGAATGTTTTCTCCGTTTATCCCAGGGATGAAAACCCTTGTCAAGAAGTATGAGGTTCCCAAACCAGAGGAGGTGAATATTTACAAACAAAAGTTGGAGAGGATCCATGCAGAGGTTGCCAGTTCAAGCAGGTAAGAAGATGAAGTGACCCGTGCATGTTTTTAAGGTATACACAGAGCATTTAACAATATATTGCCACACTATACTGTATGTAGTTATTAAATGACAGAATATGTGAGTTTATTATGGAGGTGAGAAACCTTAAGAACACAAAGCAAAAATAGATGTTCACCATCAGTCCATCTAGTCCTCATTAACATGCAATTAGTGGTGTCATTTAAAGTCAAAGTTTTGTCTCGGTGTAAAAATACCGATTTTACTGTGTAGTTTTTGTAATCATAGATTGAACTGCTATACCCCACACCCAAGTGATCAACGGCAGGTTTCCAATGTCAAATGTAGGAACAGTTTTTTGTTTTTGTTTTTTTATTTTAGCCAGGTTGTCATATCTAAGATGCAAAAGGTTCAAGGTTCATTATCAGGTAGAAAAATAAAAAGGAACACACTATCATCAGCTGTATGAAATACAGAAAGAAAGTACAATAGTATGCCACATTCCCATTCCATGTAGCACAGCTGATTATTGGTATCGCTGATGAGGAAACTTTTAGGCTCATTTGTTATTACTTCTTTTTTGTCAATTGCCTGTTAATGCTTGGTGAGGTCTGTGGTATCTTATTGCAGCTACAGTAAACAGCTTGGTAAACTCTTGCGCTATGACAGGCACAGATTCAGACTTTGCAGCTGCTTGAATCATCAGGAGATGCACAAGGGCCACCCTTACAGCTGTTAGGCTGATAAATCTATGCGTGGCATGACTGCTGAGGATAGATCTATATGCGAACAGTCGCTGCAGAGGTGTACTGAAACACCACCTGTGATGGTGGGAGAGCAAGAGACTGCAAATGCACAAAAGCTTTCATTCACATCCCAAGGCATAGGGGGAGTTTAGGTGACATTTGTTAGAGCAGCATATATGTAGGCCCACACACGATAGCAGGATCCATTCAAGGTTAACACATGCACAGGACAGCTTACAGGTATCTCCTACAAACAAGCTCTCAGCACTGTTGAGCTATATCATATACAAACATCTTACTACTATACAAGCCTAAGTATGTAATATCAACAAACAAAGCAGCATATAAAAATGTAACAAGTGGTTCCAGTGCTGTGTGGTAGTTCATAAACAAAGACAGTGGAAGTTGTTAATGGTCTGAAGGAAGAGCTTATCTTAACAGGTGATGGGGGTGAGAGGATGGCATGTAGAACAGGAGTTAAGGCTTGTCATCTTGGAGAGAGGTGCTATGTTTAAATTCCCTGATGACGGCAGAAAATGCTACTTCAACGCTTTGGCTCGCCTCCCTCTAATGTCCTCACAGGTTTGTTGTCCAAGCAAAGGAGTTGTCTATCAGGGTGCCCCATTCCTCTGGCTTCATTACTAGTTGAGGGAGTGGCAGGCATACCAAGATAAAATAAGTTCAGACATTTCTGCAGTTGACTGTATCTCAGGTCCATCTTCATAGAAATCATCTCTTCAGGGTCTAAACTGACAAGGCTTCTTGTCAAAGTTCCATCAGTTCAACACATGCTGTTGGTGTCTGAAGCAGTCTGGAAAAGGCTTTGGAAGGACAGTATTCAGATATGCAGCAAGTGGTTTCCCATGGAGAACAGCCATATTGCATTTTAACTGTCAGGAATCTAGGCCACATGCTTAAGATACTCAGTTGTGCACCTTATGGGGTGAGGCCTCACTTTGGCTGGCTGTGCGGTCTGACTGCCACACACTGTGCTCAGGTGAAAATCTGTTAAATCTCACATTACCTGGATGGCAGCAGCCAGTGACATGATGGTGCACTCTGTCCTGTAAGACAAAGTGGACATGTTTCTGAAAGGCACATGCTGATAAATTACTCCGTTTTGGCAAGTACTAAAATGCTTCTGAAGCAGAGCTATCAAAGTCTGTGTATATTAGACTACATGATACAGCGATTGAACATGAAATGAGATAGGAAACTACCACTACTGATGGTGATCATGAAGGTGTAGTGGACACTAGATGTAGCACTATTTACCTAAACAAGTGCTGATAATGGTCTTAAAAGGACTAATTACTTGAGGGCTGAAGATGTGGAACAGAGTTCACCAACAGTTGTGCCTTGCAAAGACAACTTATGATTCAGAGATGTCTTACAAAACTGCTCATAGTAAAATTATTTTTGTATTGCAGCAAACGAAAGAGAGGATATGAAGAAGATGGCCATGTAGCAAAACAACCCCGTTTGGCAGAAGAGGTGAGACAGTATTTATTGTGTCAGCTACAGGCTGACATTTAGGCAAACTTTGATTCACGTTTAACTGCTTACTTGTTGTAGAGTTCTTCCTAAATAACCAAAAACTTTGTTTCATTTCAGGACTGGACTGATGAAGACCTGATATGAGCTCTATGTGAAAGTTTTATTATACTACTTAATTCCAAGACTGAAGTGTCAAGGGAAGTGGTCAAGCCTGCTAGTGTAAATATTTACTTTTCTACCTGACACTGCAGTCAGTATTTTGTTTACATTTGTTCTGGAGTTAGAATATATATTTTTTTACATATTCTCTTCACTATTCTGTAGATTAAAACCAGAATGGTAAAATATTCCTTAAAGGTAACCCATGATAGTATATCAATACGGTTCCACCTTTGTCAGGGGACAATGAACAACTCCATAATCTACTTTACAAAAACTGTTTAATAAGTGCATGCACGTCTGATACAGTCTGAACTATTCCAAAAAATGTACTGCTGTAAACACTTTCATTTTACTTGGTTTCTCTGATTATGTCTCTCATCTGGCACCGAGAAGTTTCAAAAAAAGACTTTACCAAATCGTGAAATAGCTGATAGTCAGAGGGAAAAAAAATTTCAGCTCATCTCACTTATATACTCACGATTCCAGCAAGAGAATGTATTCTTAATATAAAATAACCATACTTTTCTGAAAGACTTCATTCCTATCTAGAAAACAAAGAAAGAAAAAGAACAAATTGACAGACATGCTCGTTTCAGCACTTTGCAGATACTGTCACAACTTTAAAATAACTCGGTCACTAATTACAGTATAAAAAAGCATTACAGCTCATAATCCAGTTACCAGAAAAGGGGGCAGAGAGAACTAGGTCATTCATGTCAGTTTCCTCATGATGAGCAAGGAAACAGAACACTCTTTGGCAACCTGTGGGTACAAACAAACTTTAAATTTTTGTAATATCTTAATATTTGGCCTTCATGATGAAGGGACTGAAATTTACCCAAGTCAGAATCATGAACACAGTTTATGGGGGGGAAATGATTTTTCCTGTGCATACAGCTGTCTGGTGCAATTTTTATTTATTTATTTATTTAAAGTACTGCATTGGTTTTTGTACTCAGCTGCTGTTGTTGCATAGCTCTGCTGTGGTGAACAGGACAAGATGGGGATGGGCAGGACTATCACAGGAGGACATGATGGAGGGTGGTGGTGGAGGAGTTGCCATGGTGATGAGGGTAGAGCATGCTAGATCTCCTCTGTGCTGCACTCCGGTGAAGGAGACTTGACGGAAGGATGGGAAGATGGGAGAAGAGGAGGAGTGCGGTACTACCTGTTGCTGTTGGACATGGCATACTGAGCCTGCTTCTGCTGGAGGAGCTCTGTGATGGCCAGCAGCTTTTTCAACACATGCTGCAGAGAAGAAACAGGAATTAGATGCATCTTCTGAGATGGGACAACATTAATCATCCTGTGTGTGCACTGCTGTGATGTTATCGTTCTCTTACCTGCTGTGCTCCCCTCTCGTTGCTCAGTGTGCGGAGCTCATCTGAGTGCGTGGCACAGATCTCATGCAGTGCGGCCAGGTCCCGGGACAGGTCTGTCCTAAAGTGCTCTGTGGCTTCAGGCAGGTCAGGGACATTCTAGAAATACAGTTAATAATGTTTCTAAGCTTCTTCTTCTTCTTATTGGTGACAAAAAAAACAAAGAAAACCAAACACATTGTTCTTCTCTAATGACAGTGAAAAGCATCACACCCCCAAAATAAGACGACGAAACTATAGAAGGTATTTTTTTCCCAAAAATAAATATATGAATGAATGTAAATGTTATCAGTTTGTGAACCAGAACCAATAATTGTGACTCACCCCTAACTCATCCAGAAACATGATCATCCTTTGTTTGTTGTTTTTGATGAAAGGGTTCACACCCTCCATGTAGGGTTCCTGTTTGAGAGCAAACACAGCTGCAATGTTGACGTGTCCACTTAAAAAATAAAAATAAAATAAAATATCTACTGAATACTAAAAGTCATACTTTAGCACCAAATTCGACCAGGTTAGCCAGGTTCTGGACAGACTTGGCCACCAGTGTGAGGGTCCTGCCTGCTGTTGAAGATGGAGGGTCTGCGGGAAGAAATGGCAGTGCAGAACACACATTGTCACTCATGTAACAACTCATGTACAAGTTGGTCTGAGTTAATGCTCACCAGCAATGATGTTGAACATCCTGGGGTTGAGGATGGCAGGGCAGATCAGTCTTAGAAAGACAAAGCCACTGAAAGAAGATGATGTATTAAGTTAGACTGAACAAGAACAAACAAAAGTTGTAATAGTAATGGAGAGTAAATACAAACAAAGAGAAATGACAGCTTTTTCACCTAGAAGTGTGTCCAGCATTATTTGTGTTTGTTTACCTTACAACTCTCGTCCGCATGGTGGTGTTAGTGGGCCATTTCTGCTGCACAGACTTTTGGAGACAGCCATAGATGAACCTTAATGTCCTGGATGGGTCATCATAGAGAGATAATGACTGATTAAATGGGTTTAAGTGATCTACCCATGAAACAGGACAACACTGTGTATATGTGCTTACGGTGGTAAGATCTCAGCAGCCATGAAGATCTTCTCCACAAGCTCAGACAGAATGTTGAGAAGATGGGCCAGATTCAGGTTCACATCCTCATTCTTTTCCAGTTTGGAAGGGTTCAACTTGACACAAGAATATGTAGAAAGAAAGAGAGATGGGGGAAAGAAGGACAAAGAGATAAAGGTGAATTAATTCACATTCATAACATAGTGAACTATGACAAAAGCATTCATCTTATTTTAAAGTAACAGCATCTAACAAAAGTTAAGTGCATCATGTCATGTAGTACTAATAAATATAGTAAATGCATTTGTTATATTCACCTTAAAGCGCCACAAGAGAAATTAAGACAAACAGCGACAAAATATGAAATGAAATTTATATACCGAGACATTTGTTTTAATGGATGTTTGAACTCTGTAAGAACTGTGTCCTGACACATGGGTCTACTGTGTAAGGAAAAGGATGTGTGATCTCCTATTCAACCTTTTGTTTTAATACTTAGATTATCTCTGTTGCCATGTACAGTATGCTTTTTAACATATAGTTATTGAAAAAGGACAACAAGAATGGAAAGCCTGTAAGTCGTGGTTAACTATCAGCAAACCTTCAGTGCTCTCTAACTGCAAGACTACTGAATATCTTTGTAGCTGGTGATATGTTCTCAGTAGTGTTGCACGATATACCGGTACTAGTATGGTACCGCGGTACTGAGGCATTTAAAATGGTACTATACTGCATTTGGATGGGACCGGTACTTGCAGCGCCGGCTCGCAGCGCCCGCCCGCAACAGAGGAAAACAGAGCAGGAAACAGCTTCCTCGTCCTCTGCTCACTGAGCAGCGTGGACTGGAGCAACAAACGGAGCAGGAGGAAAGCTTGGAGAGAGCAGAGACGTTGGAGAGGGAGAGAGCGAGAGAGAGAGAGAGGAGCACGGAGAGGAGAATGGCTGCTGTAAAAGTCACCACCCCCCAACTTGTGGACAAACGAGGGGCGCGAAGTGCTATATGGCAGTACTTCGGCATAAAAACAAATGAGCAAGGAGAGGCATTTAACGTTGATGCGCCATTGTGTAAACGATGTTTTAAAACATGCATGGCTAAGGGCACAAGCACCCAGACCTGCACACTGAGTTCAGGGAACGACAGGTAATTTACTCATGACATGTGCCCTTTTCAAATGCAATAGTTCAGTAGTTTTAAGTGTGCAACACAAGATAAAGAGTTCTTATCAAACATAGACATTTTTTTTGAGTGCAATAAGAAAAGCCTAGTATTTTGAATTTTATTTTGATGTTATTCTAAGATTTTCTATTAAAATAAAGTCAGTAATGACATTTTTTGCTTTCTCTTTTTATCTGAAAAACTATCCAAAAGTATCGAAATACATTTTGGTACCGGTACCAAAATGTTGGTATCGTGACAACACTAGTTCTCAGCTAATCCGTAAATAAAGAATACAAAAAAAAACCAGTGTTCTGGAATATTCATCATGACATTAAGGTTCAAAGAGCAGCCTTGAGCAGCAGCCTTGAGAACTCAGCCATGTTGATGCTGTGTCATGCATTCAGCTTTTTCTTTACATATAAATAGCAATTTATAATTGTGGAGTGACTGCACTGATATGACCTAAATGTCATGGTCTTATCCTTGTACCACTGGTAAGTGCTGGGGGGAAACAGCGTGGAGACATTTAAAGATCCTTTGTAGATCTTTACCTCACATGACTGTTTGCTCTCCATGATCTTGAGGATTGTGTCTTTGAGAGCGTGGTGGACGAATGGTGTGGCTGTGGCTTTCATGTACTGCTCCATCAGTGTGCTGGCCAGTGTGGTTGCTCTGAACAATGTTGTGGCCTCATCTGGTAACAGTGCACAAGCAGAGAAGGTTAAGGACATGGTTCTACAGATTTCTCAACAAATAAACCAAAATAATAAGATAAGCCCTGCAAAACACTGCAGACTGGGGTGCAGAGCGCTGGTGTTGTTTCTTACCTTCCATATTAATCTCTCTGTCATTGAGTGTCCTGAGTAGGGGGGCTTCAGCCTTCTCATGTCTGAAGATCCGCAGAAGGAGGCTTGCCAGTAAGGTGCGGTCCTGACCACACACATGGGCCAGAGCGTAGATGACATGGAACTCTTTCTGTAAGATCATCTGCAGAGGGCACACAGCAATGACATCATTGTGATTTAAAGTGAACAGAGCAGAGAGTCAAAAGCACTTTTCGGTAAACCAGACCTCTTTGAACTCGCTATATTCCTCTTCGGGCATGATCTTCTCCATGGAGTAGCGGGCACGTACGCGTAATGAGCCCGGCTCGATGCCCTTCAGAGGCACATGGGAGCTGAGAGGGAACCACTCATCAATCATCTGGCCTTTCTGCAGACGGTTCAGCTGGCAACGCATGAACACTGAGAGGGAGAGCCGTTGAGGTGTGGAGGAAGACAGAAAGAAAAGGTGGGAGAAAGGTGAGTTGTGAAATGAATCAAAAAGAGATGATGTGAATGCAGAGACTAACACTACACTAAAAATAAATCAGGATAAAACACAAGTGGTACATTTTCAGAAGAAATTAGTTACAAAAAGTAAAGCTGGGGCTCGTCAGTATTGTCAGATGGTTAACAATATAAATGTTTACATTTTATTTTGGATGAGCATCTCACTTTTAAAGATACTATCAATATTCTAGTTAACTCTGCAGGTAGAGCTTTGGGATCAGTGCTTAATAAGGTAAAAATATGTAAAGATTTGGGTTTTTGTAGTTAAATCATGCATCTGATTACGTAGCAGACATCAGGGGGGTCCGTGAACAGGTGAAGGGTAATACAATACATTATAGAGCAATTTGTGCATTTTGGGAGTTCAAACATTTACACCAGTTTAAGCTATTAGCAGAGATATGGGAACCTTCAAATGTCAGACATAGGAATGACATGTTTCAACTCTGGAATAGAGTTGTGAGCCTGCCTGAGCACTGGCTCACTAGAAAGAAGACAGAGCTGCTTCTTCTATTTTGTAATATGAGGATATTATAGTAAAGTGTGAAAATGTTTTCTTTTTCATGGAATAAATAGTATTTGTAGTGTCTTTTAAGTGTCGGCTTGTCAATTTGGTGCATGACAGATAAAATGAATCTGAAAATCTGATTCTATTCAGATGTACTCACAGATGTCACTTTCTTTGCTCTTTTTTGTTTTGTTGCTGAGGCTGATTTCAAATCTGTTGATTTCACTTGACAAGTCACTGAAACAGATAAAGTATTGTGTCATTTTGCAAAGAAGTGGAGAAAAACGTTATCAGGTCAAAGTTATATTTTGCTGGGAATGTCAGGAACAGCAGGTGGAAGAACTGGAGAAGGAACATATACAAGCAGGTTTGTGACATACTCAAAGATGAACTCTTCAGTGAAGACGGGGTTCTGGCCCTCCCTAGGGTGCGTCTTAGCCACCTGGACACTGTTCAGGTAGATGTTACAGTAGGGACTGGTGAAATACTTCACCGGCAGCTTGTGGGCCTCCTCCACATACAGCACCAGACTGCTCACCTGAGAGAAAATTAAAGATTTAGCACATACAGCATATGTAGGGATAGGCTGTAATAACAAGACAAACACAGCCCTTAAATGTTCCCCACTAATAAATGCTAATAGCTGCATGCCATCTATAGAAGATGTGGACTGAAAACAGCATCAAAAAGTTTAACATATGTAACGGACTATCCAACTCATCTAAAAATAAAGAGAACGTGGGATGAACATGGATGAAGGATTTGAAACAAAAATTGGAGTCAAGCTAATCATGGGAATAATGTTAATTATATTTTAATAAGACTGACTTGTGTTACAGTGGCAGTACTCATATATATGTCAAGCCAGCTGGGATAAAAGACCATTTAGTGTTTGTATTTTTAATAAATGCATGTAACCATTTCAGATATGAACCCAAGACCTTCCAAACAACTAGAAGTCATCCTAATCACATGAACTTCTGTTACAGTTGTGCTCAAATTTAAACAATTCTGACTTTCAAATTTTGCTTTTACAAGGTTTTTACACCTGAGTGACAAATACTGTTTTACTGGCTTGTTGGATTTGACCATCTACTGCTTTACTTCTGCATGGACATGCACTGGCTCATGATAAATGTACCTGTCTAAGCCTCTTGTTAGAGGTGGGCTGAGTGGTTTTCCTTAGGTTACTGCAGAATGTTTGAAGGCATTTCATCCAATCCTGCAAAAAAAAAAAAAAGAGAACATTGTCACAGATTTTTGTAAGAAGCAGTCATAGGCTCTGTCTCTGTAAGAACTCACAACACTGTAAACTGTTCGCACTGTTTATATTTGTTTGTTTCATGAATGATATAAAATGACTGGCTTTATAAGGCTGGCTGTCTTTCACATATGATGAAGAAAGAGAGAACCAGTTCACAGTGTTACATGCCCTTTTAATAAAACAATCATTCGGTTTAAGATTTTTGGACTCAGCATCTGGACCAAATAAATGTGCATGTGTCCAGCCTGTTTGATGAGATGGTTATCAGTGACATATTACCTGTGCATGCTCTGGAACCTCTCCCGCAAAGTAGAATATGTACTGTTCCTCACTAAAGTGCTGGACAACAATCTGGAAACAATTTGGCCTGAAAAAGCAGAATAGAAAATAAGACTTTATATTACTTTATATTCTTAAAAATGGTTTTCTTCAGTGTGGTGTCCAGGCAACTGTGTCTTTATAGCTCAGTGGCAGTATTTCCTGCAAACGTGACAAAATTCAATCAGGAATGATATTCTGACATCTCACCTGCCAAACAGACTGTCATGCACACCATACACAGAGCACACACTTAGGTCAATTAGCCCTTTGGGTTTGGTGGCTCTCTTCTCACTCTCAAAGTAGATGAGCTGGGCGTCGTTACCCTCCAGAATGAAATAAAGGTTCTTCCACCGTTTGCCTTTTCCTGAATGTGAGAGGGACCAGAGAAAGGTTTATTAAAATGGTAGATCCTTAATGCCCTAAACACATAACAAGATAAAATGAATCATCATATCACAAAGAGCTACTGAAAGTTTATTAAAAATCTTGTACTGGACAGATATACTGTATACCTTTGTTGAACAGGAGGTAGCCTTTCTTCACAATGTTTTTGTAGAAAGCCTCTTTTTTTTTCCGTCTGATAGTGTTATAAATTTCTTTTCCATCCACTGTGTCGGTAAGTACTTGTTCCTGGTGCTACAGTAAACACAAAAACAGATCAAACCATCGTTTAACCACAAAGGCAAAATCAGTTCCATTCAAACAAGAGAAATTCTAAGAAATCTAAATTGTGAGGAAAAACAAACACCTAATACAAATGTCTGATACAATTTATTTTATTCAAAATACACACATATATTTTAGTTACACTTGCACTCAACATTAGCACCAACAAGTCTGATCAAATCCCTTATATTGTCAGATGTCATCCCATTAAATCACAAATACAGACTCACACATTCCAATAATGCAATGTGCATATACAACGGTAGCTACCTGTACTGAAACTGGTTCTTTCAGGTTGTAGCCCTCAACAATCTGTTCTTTCTTGTAATGGTCGATGATGTCATCAACACTGCCAGAGTGAAAGAGCAAACAAGATGATTATCTGCAAGTCAAAACATGCAATACACACTGACTACAACATCATAAATGCTACAATCCATGTTATTTACTTAACATTAGTCCTGTAATTAAGCAAGACTCCTTTTCAAGAGACCTGTGTACAAGAATACACATATACAGTTTTAACGTGGACAGAATACATTACTACACATACCTGTTGTAGTACCTCCCTCCCATCATGTATTGATTGTTGGAGGTGGGGGAGATCTTAAACCTTTGGATGTTTTCATTGGTGCGAAAAAAGAGGGAGTAGTCCCCAGGTGTGTTGTCTGATGGCCGGACTAGAAAGCTGCACACCTGGCCAACTATGAAATGTGAGGGAACAACACAGGGAGAGATTTTAGTGCATGCTCAGCAGTATATTTTGATAAATAGACTGATCTTCAGAATATATTTCCAACAAAAAGAATCCATGCTAATGTCACAAGTGATTAATAACCTTGGCCTAATGAAAGGCAAAGAGGAATGTACCTGTCATCAGCAAGTTGTAGGCCTCTTGCTTGGTGATCTTTCCATGATACCAGCTGTCAGAGGTCCAACAAGAACAAAACAAAGAAGAGGGACAGACAACTGAATTAGCACAATCAACAAAATGCAGATGTTCAGTAGTGCCTACTGCAACAACTCCATCTCTCCACTCTGAAGTCTTTACTAATGGAAAACTCTATTGGGGACATTCATCAGAGTAAAATGACTAACTGCTGACTTGCTCACATTTCTTGTAGGTAGAGTCACTTACTCAGTGAAACTTTGTCAATGCTTAAGGACATATATGAGAAGACAACAATGAAATATAATTTACATGCTATGCAGTAAATATAAAAACATAATTTTTATCTTAAGGAATAAGCAAACTAGGTTGGGTACAAAGACGCAAACACAAAGGCTGAACTAACAGAATGGATATTCTGTATGCTGCTGCATCACAGAGCAATTGTAACTAGTAAGATGCTCTGTATGTGTGTGAATGCTCATTCTGTTCAGATATTAAACACCACAAAAAGTGGGATCAGTGGAATACAACTTACACTTTTCCCTCATGTGGATCCTCCTCCCGCCCCTGAAAGGTACCAGAAAAGGAAAGACAAACAACTAAGGGACCAATGACTGCAGTTTCTGTAACATCTATGGACTGTCATTATATAATATCACAACCCTGGGTACTACACTGATGCCACTTTGGTATGACATATCATATTCAGCTCACATTGGTTTGTTTTTATCCACATAAGATGCCACTATCAGTTTTGTCTTGACTCAGTATATTTCTTTAATGTTTTACACATCATCTAAAAAAATATATAGCTTTCCCATATTGTGCTGTACTTACCACCTCCTCCACCAGATCCTCCACAATGAGGCCCTGCTCCTCTGTGCGAACATTGGTCACCCACATCCAGCCATCATCCAGTTCATTGTGAACAATAAACATGTCCCCCTTTAGGAAGCTGAACATCCATTGAGTCATTTAGAAAAAGGGATAATATTGTGTCATTACGTAAAAAGGCAAAAATAAAGAAATGTGTAAAAGCCATTCTGCGATACATAGGTTGTCATATCACACTCTCTTCCTCCCTGCTGGTTCATTAACGCACTGCAATGTTGAGCATGTGAAGGGAATTTGGGATCAAATATATAACTTCAACCAATCAAATTTGTAACAAATTTGTAAAGAAATTGTCAAATGTGTGTTTCCTTTGTGCTGACTGTAATACCAAAGCATTACCAGCAGGTGTCTCCTCTAAATTATAACATTTGAGGTAAGTGCATGTCTGTCTACTCAGTTTATCCTGTGCCTCACTGGCAGACTCAGGGTCAAGGTTGACTTCAGACAGCTGTTTATCAGATTTAGAAAATCAGGGGTAGCTGGGATCAGTGAATGTGCCTACTGCAGCTTAATGACGGGAACAAGACTGTTTTTCATTAACAAGTCAGATGATGTGCTTTCCAGGCTGCTGTAAAGGGAAAACAGACCTGTGACTCTTGTGAAGCAATACACATAAATACTATATTTTTAAGCCCACGAAAACATTCGTGCTCATCTTTGTCTCAAAGATTATGCATAATATTTATGAGAGTACTTCTTGGAAAGCAACTGGTTGGATATGAAAATGTTATAGTACAAGTATAAGAAAAGGAAACTCTCTTTTGTATAAATAAGCACAGGTACTTACCTGATCTCATCAGTATCTGGCACTTTGGTGTATGGGAGTATGGCCCTGACTCTCCTCCTGTCCTCTACAGGCTGTGGAAGCATCCGAAAAACACATTCATGTTAAATCCCCTAATCATTCCATAAAAGTGAGTATTGTAATACATCTCCCTCTGGGAGATAACATACTCAGCTAAAAAAAAAGGTAATTAGCATCAGCTTGAGCTTTGCCTTAAACAGGTCTAAATACTGCCTGAAGGCAAAAGAAAAAAGGTAAAAGAAAGATTTAAAGAGACTCCCTTGTACAGTGCCTTGCGAAAGTATTCGGCCCCCTTGAACTTTGCGACCTTTTGCCACATTTCAGGCTTCAAACATAAAGATATAAAACTGTAATTTTTTGCTGTAAAGGGAAAACAGACCTGTGACTCTTGTGAAGCAATACACATAAATACTATATTTTTAAGCCCACGAAAACATTCGTGCTCATCTTTGTCTCAAAGATTATGCATAATATTTATGAGAGTACTTCTTGGAAAGCAACTGGTTGGATATGAAAATGTTATAGTACAAGTATAAGAAAAGGAAACTCTCTTTTGTATAAATAAGCACAGGTACTTACCTGATCTCATCAGTATCTGGCACTTTGGTGTATGGGAGTATGGCCCTGACTCTCCTCCTGTCCTCTACAGGCTGTGGAAGCATCCGAAAAACACATTCATGTTAAATCCCCTAATCATTCCATAAAAGTGAGTATTGTAATACATCTCCCTCTGAGAGATAACATACTCAGCTAAAAAAAAAGGTAATTAGCATCAGCTTGAGCTTTGCCTTAAACAGGTCTAAATACTGCCTGAAGGCAAAAGAAAAAAGGTAAAAGAAAGATTTAAAGAGACTCCCTTGTACATTCAGCTAGCGACAACATAAAGGAATCCAGGCTGACTTCAAGTTAACCTGAAAAGGTCCATTTTTCCCACTCAGCTTTAAACTAGGGATGGGCAATGAATTTCAAATATTTGAATAAAATAAAAAATATATTTCATGTGTTGCCTGTAGAAGTGAGTGTGGATGTGTGGTTGTTTGTTTATATGTCAGCTCTGTGATAGCCTGGCGACCTGTCCAGGGTGCACCCTGCCTCTCGCCCAATGTCAGCTGGGATTGGCTCCAGCCCCCCTGCAGAACTATTCAGGAATAAGCAGTATAGACAATGGATGGATGGAAAATTCTTACTATAGTTTTGTTTTTGGAGTCCACTGTATGCTGTGTACCAAGTCAGTCTCACCTCAGGGGGTGCCACTGGTGATAGCAGTTTCTCTCCTTTTAGCAGGCAAGAGACATAGCTGTAGTAACCAATCAGGTCTGATAGAGAAGAGAAGCGTCGCCCACCAATGTAATAGTCTCCACACATGGCGATTATCCTGTTGAAAGAAAACACAAAAACAACAAAAGACAGCATAGTTATTTTTAAATACAGACTAATCTCTGTGCAGTGAAGGCAGTGTGTGCCGTTTTTCCATCAGTGCTCCTGTACACTACTGACAGTGACAAATCAAAGGAAAAACCTGAATAAATGAGTGGTCTCTTCCAGGATGACAGTGCCTCCATCCATAGGGCACGAGGGTTCACTGAATGGTTTGATGAGTATGAAAAAGACATGAATCATACACTGTGGCCTTCATAGTGACCAGATCTCAACTCGGTTGAACAGATCTGGGAGATAGTGGACCTACATGTTAGACAGCGTCTCCACCACCATGATCAAAACACCAAATGAGGGATTATCTTTTGTAAAATGGCTCTGTGGCTCTTTATTTTGGTTTGCCTTTTAATATGTCACCCACTTATAACTCAAATACACTATTAAGATGTAATATCTGTACCATAGTCCTTAGCCAAAAGAAAATAGTAGATGTCTATCTAAACAGGATTTCAGATAGTGAGAGAAAGACAGAATCAGAAAAGCACTACAGTGAACAATTACCATAGCACAGGAAAATACTGCACTGAACCATATCCCATTACAGAGTTACTAGTTCTCTACTCCCTGTGACAGACTGGCAACCTGTCCAGGGTGTACCCCGCCTCTCGGCTGATGTCAGGTGGGATAGGTTCTAGGGCCCCCCGCGACCCTATTCAGGAATAAGCGGTATAGAAAATGGATGAATGGATGGACGGATAGTTCTCTGCTCCTCAGTTGAGTGGACCTCTGACTGAGGGTTTATTACAAACACACTATACTATAACTTATTCGATGTATGCGCAACCTAAGGGCAACAACCTTTTGAGGTGTACGTAATTAACCTTATGTTCATACTTCACTTACAGAAAGGCTCCCTGCTTTCAGTATCAGTGACATCATGGGCCCACACTAAACCACCCACAAGTCTCTTTATTACTCTCTCAGATCAGTTTTTTTTTTTTTTTTTTTTTTTTAAGTAGAGAATGTTGTTTGACCTTGACCTAAAAGAGCATATCTTCACTTTTATGTGTGAACTGCAGGGTTAATGGATCCTCAACTGATTATTGCATATCAGTTGAGGGGGGAGGACAGACTGTAATGCCTAATCTGTCTTGTTTTATTGACTGTAAGGTTGTAAAACACCCCAACGTACTGCTGCTAGATAAGTGTGCTGTCCTCTTTCTGTTACTTCAGGTCCACCCACACACATTACATGTATTCTGGGTGCGCACTCATGCGTATACACACGCAGCACTGAGAGTCTCAGCAGACAGTTCAGCGTGGACGTTGATACGCATTATATAAAACATGGTTCTCAACAACAGAACATTGCTATCTGTTTAAATCACTGACAGAAACAGGCTGAAGTGGCATGCAATAGCACCACCGGAAACCACTTTTTCAAACCTAAGCATTCTTTCTTCAGCATCAGCTCATCACTGAGGTTGCCCCTTCATTGCAACGTGTGGCTTTCTAACCTTTTGTTAGCAAGTAATGAACGTCTGTGATACCTGAAGTGGTTGACTACGTTGGTCATGCTAAGAAAAGACAGGACAAAAGAACCAGGCCGGCGATCACTCTCCCTGATGAGGTAGCTGCCAGGGGTCCGGGCCTGTCGCAGCCGCTCCTCGGCGATGGTTCGGTCTAGCTTGCCATGGTACCACCTGGAACAGACAGACAGGGAGGACATCATTAAGAAAGGGAGACGGATGACTCTACATAAAGTCTGTGATGTACACAAAGAGCATCTTAATGTGGTGCTAAAATGGTGAAAACGTTTGAACAATATTTAACTGTAACTGAAAGGGACTGTGGTACAAAAGTAATAAGCTTGTTGAGTAAGGAAGCACTAGTGTACCTATACTGTGGAATGGCCTGCCGCAGGATATTAGCTCTGCTCTGAACCTGACTGTTTCTAAGTCACTTCTTAAAACTCACTTGTATTCACAGGCCTTTAACAACATCTCTGATTGATGCATTCGTTTTTGATTGTGCATTTTTGCTGTTATTTTATTGTGTAGTCATGATTTATCTGGTTTTATTTTAGGTATTATTTGTTTTTTTTCTGTTTTACTAGAAAGCACCTTGTAATTTAGGTTTAGAAAGGTGCTATATAAATACATTTTGCTTGCTTGCTTGCTAGTAGTAGTAAAGTATTTGTAAATACACTGTAAATTAAACAGCTTGATTGATTTAATGTAGCACTGGTTGAAATAGTTAAAATTCTACAAAATGCTGTAACAATATTTATTACAATACACTGTATATTATGTCTGTTAAAAGTTATATTTCTAGAAATAAAAACAAACACAAAAATTGTGGCAATACAGCCAACAGTCTTCTGAGGTAATCATAATGGGAGATGGACAGGATTTGACAGACTCTAGAAACATGCATATAAGATAATAAATGATAATGAAGTTGATATTAGATATGAAACAAGTACATTTTACTACCTATTTTTATAGGAGTACAACACAGTCATGGATTCTAATACAAATGGAAAGGGGAGACACCTAAAGGCTGAAATCCAAAAGCTTTTTATTTTTGAGTTTCTATTAAGTCTTACTGCTTCCTGAATTAAACAAAAGACTTAAGAACAACACTGGTTAAAATTTTAGCAGGTAAGGCTGAGCTCGACAGGGCTCGCCAGCTGGGGTAAAAAATTAACACACTTTTCCAGATTTAGGCCACTGGTGCCTCTCCGAACAGAGGACAGTGAGTGGAAAAACCAGTGAGCAGATGAATAGGGTGCTGCAGTAACTCTTTTTACAGAAGACCTAAAGGGCTCCCATCTGGTAAAGGCGAGTAGAGGTCTATAGTATTTGTAAAAAAAAGCATGACGAAGCCTGCTATTATGAAATAAGCTCGATAAGGCTTGTGGAAAAAGAGAGAGTTAAGTGTCCATGAGGAGTTTTAGGGGGATATGGAAGATAAGAGAAGTGAAGAGGGTGTTTGAGAACAGCTGGAGAGCGAGGTAAAGCCATCCTGAGGGGCTCAGGAGCTTTAATTCCCAGTTTTTAATATTACACTGCCCTGGATGAAAAGGGTGCTATGATAAACAGACTATTAGCATAAGCCATGACAGCAGTGACAGAATACAGTTCTCTCCACTTGAGGAATGTCCTGTCATGTCAGTACATGAACACCAAGCAGCACAGTGATGTCCTGCTTTTCTCTTCCACTGACACTAAACTCAGGATAAGGCATTTACCCTGGCTCTCTTGTGGTTAAATAAAACAGACTGTTAATAGTACAAGGAACTGTGGCAACTCGCCACACATGTCAAATGGCAGTGCTTTGTACACTAACCAGGTTACAACTACTAATTAATGGCAGTACACCAAAGCATGTTTCTTCTGAGTGAGTGAGCACAAGAAGTCACCAACAATATCATCCATTGAAATGTCCCCATCCTGAGCCAGACCTTCACACAGGTCACCCATTCCCTCTACGTCATCATGAGACAAGAAGCGAAGGCAACACTTTCAGGTGTTCCCATGTGCATACAAGTTACTAGGTTAAGCTTATACTAGGTTATATGCATGGTACAGTTTATTGTGTAATGCTGTCAATCAAAACAAGCAACTGAACTCCAACATGCCCAAGACCAGCAAGTTTGTGCAAGATGGTAAAATATAGGCCTTAGGCTCCAGAAAGCAGAGCAGCATGATTTACTGTGTACACAATCCTTCTCGCTATATTTAAAGGCTGGAATACTTTAAAAATCTTGCATCACAAGAGCTCTCACAAGACAGGAGTGACATATTGGTAGTAGATTATGCCTGTAGTGCTGACCTACAAAACCCTCCTAGCTGTGGTTTTCTCGCTGCTGAGAAAGCTTTGATTGGGAAAAAACAACCATTAAGCCACAGGGAACACAAAGTTTTCTTCTTCTAGAAGATAAACTGTATAAAATCAAAGTTGGCCAAGTTTGTCCAAATGAATATTTTGCGGAACAGAATATATAAGAAGAGTTTTCCTGAAATAGAAACATCGCTCCCACAACATAAACTAAAATACCTTGGTGGATACATGAATATTGAGCCTAATCTGTGTTGTAACTGCAGAAAGAAAATACTTATCATGCATTATGTAACTGTTTAATTAAATGGCGATAGCTGTGGCATACAGACATGAATCCTGCAAGATCTAAAAATAATAATGTAAATAAATTCAAAGCTAAGTAGTAGGGCTTGGTGATATAAGCGTTATATACAGTTGAGTGCAAAAGTTTGTATCCCCTTACTTTGAAATGGCAAAAAGTCAACAAAATATTTAACGTACATTTAGCTGGTCCAAATGCTCCTTCATCAACAAAAAATTGTCCGGGAGTGGAACAAAGCAAAGTTGTAGTAAAATAATGAAAATCATATCAGTGCAAAAGTTTGCATCTGCTTTTATGAAATGTTCTCCAATACTTTATATGTCTTCCCTACCCTTCCTTGGGTACCCTCTGTGCAGCGTTTGCATCCATTCGGGTGTAATTTTAGCCCATTCTTCTTTGCCATTTCAAATTAAGCAGATGCTAACTTTTGCACTCATGTACGCTCACCGTGATATAAAGTTTAAGCAATAAGAAAATGATAAACTGTCAATATGAAACACTGCTTGATAGTGCACATCGGCCTATCACATCACAGGAAAGGAGGCAATTCTAACCAATTGGAAGGTTAGTTTTTTTTTTTTTATTGTACGCCTACCAAACACACAGGAAGGATGGCTGAGTTACTGGAGCACAGCACACACCACATACTACTGTTGTGGTAACACTATTAGACATGGGTCATGGAAATGAGCAGATTTCACTATAGTGCATGAGATTTTAATTTCACTGTATCATTTCATTTTGCCCAATATACTGTCTAACAATAATAATGGCAGTAAAATAAAAATAAATACCTACAAATAGTGGGCATCCAGGAATGCAAAGTCATTTTGTCTTAGTAGCTGCTTTCTTTTTGATTTGTGGCTAAATAATTTTAAGTAAAAAATAATAAATTCACATTTTATCACCACCGCTGAACAGTGGTGGAAGAAGTACTTAGATTCTTTACTTATGTAAAAGTAGCAATATCACAGTGCAAAAATACTCTATTACAAGTAAAAGTCTTACATTCAAAGTGTTACTTTATCAAAGTAAATGTAGTGCATTTCACATTCATGTTTGTTTTATATTATTTGATTATACAGTAATTATTGATGCATCATGTTCATTAGAGTCAAGCATAAAAGTAACAAGAAATAACCTGAATTGGGCTATATTGTGATAATTATCAATAGATTGCACAAGCTATGCTTTTGGTCTGCGACACTGTGTGTGCGCTTCTAATTCTGATCTGCACAAAATTAGAAATCTCTTAATGATTGGCCAGTCACTGGTCAAGGCCGGTCACGCTGAAAACCATTCATGTACGAACTCCGCCAACCGATCTATTTAAAAAAAAAAACAAAGAAAAAAAACAAGACTATTGTTAAAATATCACAGATGTTAAAGCCTGAAGTCTGTAAAGGACACCAAGAATTCAAAAGCATTTTGTGTTCCAAATGACAACAACACAGGCCTACTCTACAGATAGAAATCATTCGACCATACTATTTTTAAAAACTCCTGATACTCAGTGTGTTGGGTAGAACTTAACTATGTTCCTAGATAGTCTCAGGATTGTTGAAGCAGTTGTACATCGTTCACTCTTTAAAATAAAGCAATATACTAACATTAAAATTTCATTTCAGATAAAAGATTATACAATTGTGCTTTAATATTACTGCATGCTGGACACACTGTTCTATCTGCTGGAGCCTAGACTCTCTCAGGGTAATACAGGGACAGGACAGACACAGGCCGCTACAACTTGAGTGATTGGACCTCATCTCCCAGTCAGTCCGTCTGTCTCTCATTACATATCGTGTGTTTTTTTTTCTTCTTCCCAGTTAATCTCCTTCTTCTTCTGTCTTGATGGATGCAGCTGTACTCAGACAAGCACACAGATGCACTGTCAACCCTCATCAGTATCAAATGGTAATCAAACACTGCATTATTGTACATGCGCCTCAGTGGAGCTGCAAACTTGTAACATGTTTTCTATACACAAATTAAACACCCCAATAACATTCTTGAATAGTCAGTGCACTCCATTAGGGTGTCCTGAGCAAGTGGTTCCACAAATATAGAGAATTTTCATCATTCCATCATAATCAGACTACAAAGTCAGATGAGCCCAACCGTTTTCAATGTCTCATGTAGGTAAATGTTATCTGCATAATGCTAATTAAAACTGCGCCCATACATATGATTTTCCATTTTTTTTAACAACTACAATTGTATTCCTAAAACAAAACGCAGCTGATAAACAGGAGCTGTTACTACCAGTCCATTGTTGGGGAGGCGAGGATCTAGTTGCAGGGTGATTTTATGCCCCACTTACGCTGAGGTTGCCCTCTGCTGCATTTCCCTCCTGTGTCCCGTGGTATCACAAGGTGCACCTACTCCACTGATACAGCTACTGCCCGGGCAAAAACTGTGAGCTCCGATGTGGAAAGCAGAGCAAAGGCTGCTCTGAATCTGTACAAGGCATGATGATGTGACCCTGTTGCCACCTTGAAAGAGTCATCTCCTGTCACTAAGTTCAACAAGCGACATCCATTCAAGTAAGACGAACAG